ATCACATCAACAGTGATTATCTCTTGATGTTGATGTTTCTATTCTTTGTATTTTCCAACTGTCTGTTAGAAACATGTTATTTTTCTAGCATCAGGAAAAGTGTTTTTGTTTTGTTTTCTTTCATTCTGTTTTTTTTTTAACCAGAAAGATAATTTCTAAGACCAAAACATTACAAATTAACTTTTTTAAAAGGTGATGTCTGAATCCTGATCATTTATCATGAAGGACACTTACACTTGTGCTGGCCACACACACATTTTTCCCAAACATCAACCTGCATATTCTGACACTCAGAAAACCTTCACCACTACCCCCCACTTCACCTTACCTCTTTCTTCCTACCTTTCTCCCTCCGTCCCAGGACTCTTCCTGAGCCTCCCATATAAAGACACTGGGCTCTCTCTGAAGTTTGTCTTTAGAACAATGAGAGTTCTGACTTTAACAGGATTCAAAGCTAAGCTCCCCGGCCACAAGGTCCCACACAACCTGGCCTCCACACTCACCCACACCCTTGCCTCTCTGATGTCACTCATCACTCTTTTCCTGCTCCTGGGCCTTTGCAAGAGCTAACCTCTTTGCCTGGATCCATCTCCCCCCAGGTAGCTGCAAGGGCTCACTGCCTCACCTGTATGTATTTTGGAATAGTGTATAGTATATCCATGAATTTTCCTTCAAGATACTAAAGAGTGCTATAAAATATTTGTTATAAAAAAGAGGCAGGGGGGCTTCCCTGGTGGTGCAGTGGTTAAGAATCCTCCTGCCAATGCAGGGGACACGGGTTCGTGCCCCGGTCCGGGAAGATCCCACGTGCCGCGGAGCGGCTAGGCCCGTGAGCCACAACTACTGAGCCTGCGCGCCTGGAGCCTGTGCTCCGCAATGGGAAATGCCGCGACAGTGAGAGGCCTGCGCATCGCGATGAAGAGTGGCCCCCGCTCGCCGCAACTGGAGAAAGCCCTTGCACAGAAACGAAGACCCAATACAGCCATAAATAAATAAATAAATAAATAAATAAGTAAATGTATTAAAAAAAAAAAGAGGCTGGGTTGAGGACCACTGCTGTGCTGTGATTGCTGGTTGGCAATTTCTGTCTCTCTCTCTCATACTAAATTGGAAACTCTGGGAGGGCATGAACTGAGCCAAAGCATATCTGATGAAATGAAATGAATGAATACACGAGCAGGCTGGTGATACCTAAAAGGGGCGGGGGAGGGGCAGCTGCAGTGTGAAGCTTTGACTCCCTTGGCTTGTGAGAGGTGAGCCACACTTTTGCCAGTGTGTACAGGGACCTGACTGGGAGGCAGTTAGAATGTGCATCCGGCCAGGATCTCCTGGCTCCAGAGCAAGGCTGGTCTGGGTGGCTGGCAGCCCTAAGGGTAGCTAAGGGTCTGGGGAGGGGAAGGCAAGGAGCTATCTGCTCCCTGCACCCGCAACACCCCACTGCCTCTCTCCAGAAGCCCAGCCACTCACCATGCCTGCTAAAGGCTACTGGCCTGACAAAGACCACAGCCCACAGCTGTTCCATGTACCATGAAGACTCGGGACTTCCCTGGGTGAGGGAAACACTCCCTGAACCAAGGCTTGGGCTAGAATCCTGCAATCTTAGGCAGGTCACTTCATCTGCATCTGTGCACTGGGTTACTCACACCCACCCAGCCCTGAGCCCCATGGTGACAATCAAATAGACTGTTAACATGAGAGTCTTGGTCAACTGTGAGGACTATGCAAATATTGCTCAGTATTACACGGAAAAATCATTGTTTTACTGATGAGCATAATGAACTCTTGGGTCATTCAGAGCCCCTTCAGGAGATTAACTCGTCATCGTCAATATCAAGTATCACTGAATAATATTTTGGATCAAATTCGGATTGTTGGAACTTTCTTGGTATTTAAATTCCAGATGAGAAGGGCTTTTCTATAACCCATCAAAGCATGCTGGTGACCCGCTGGAGTCTACTCTAATCTTTTGCTGGTCCCTGCCCGCCCACACCATCCCCATGGATGAAGGGAGGGTTTGTCTGCTTTGGCAGAATATATCCATTTGAGCAGGAAGCCCTGCTCTGGTGAAAAACCATCTCTCAGACTCCACCCTCTTCCTTTGATCCTCCTACTGAATGCTGGAACGACAGAAGCAAAGCCGTTCAGATGTAATTATTTTAATTCAGCCAGATGCTGGGAATTAGTCTCTTTTCCTTGCAAGTATTCTAGGGAAAGACAGAACTCAGCCAAAGATGCCCCAAAAGAAAAGGAGCTGACAATATCAAGAGGAAGGGAGGGAGCCCCCCCCAACCCCCACTTGCTCTGAAACAGCTTAAATCAAAGAAACTGCTGTCATCCCTGGATGAAGGCGGGGAAGGGAGGAGTGGGGAAGGAGGAGGAGGAGGCAGAGCCTAAGGGGTATTAAACCCAGACTGTTTACCAATCCCGGAAAAGTAGACCAATAACAGCACCCAGCATTGTCTAGAGCTTTAGAATTTCCAAAGCAATTTCACTTGCATTACTTTATTTAATTATAAACTAGGGAGGAAGTCACCAACTGAGTTATAAGCATGGGGGCAAACTGAATCTAGGCGTCAGGGAATTCAGATTCAACCTTTCCCAGACACCCACTAGGAGCCCGGCCCCTGCTAGGCACAGTCACCTTCACAATCTCCTTTAATCCTCACAGCCACCCGATCAGCCCCAGCATACATGTGGGGAAACTGAGGCTCAGGAAGCTTGAACAGAAGCTCTAGTCTACGCATCAGCTGCATTCCCTGCCTTGCTGGGACTCTAACAGCGTTGAGGTCGCCCGCCAGCATATACAGGCGTAGGAGTTTGCATCATCACCTGCTTCTAGACATTTGGTTTGTGCTTCCTATTCATTCAGTCACAGATTCACAAAAGAACCCCTGTGATCACCTGCTGCACGCCACGCCCTCTACTGGGTGTATAGGAGGGGGAGGTTTGGTCCTGCGGTCAAGTTCCTCCAGACCCACTGAGGTAAACAGACAAGTAGAGAAACCAGATTGAGCAATTGTGTTTGAGATGATTTGGTCATTGTTATACTGCCCTAATACTTTCCTGTCCTAACAATTCTGTGTCTTATTCTCCAACTGGAAGGCCCTGAAATCAGAATTTGGGGCACTACAGCCTAGTCATTAAAGACCCTGGCTCTAGGACCAGACTGCCTGGGCTCACATCTCTTCTACTCAGTGGCTGTGTGACCTTGGGCAGGTCCCTTAACCTCTCTGTAAAATGAGAACCATATACATCAGATATTATAATACATCATTCTACGGATTACATTACATATTATAATACATCAGATAAATAAACTGATACTATATACCACTTAGCACAGTGTGTGTCTCAGAATAATCGCTCAATTAATATTGGCTAACAATTTATACCTCCATACATACAAGTAGTTCTCAAAGTATGGACCAGGAACCCCCAAGGGAGTCCACGAGGCCAAAACTATTTTCATAATAATGCTGATAAGACATGGAGTTTTCTAGAAGTTATTCAACAGTGATATCATAACAGATTGACTGCAGAAGCTGATATGAAAATCCAGCTCTTCTGTTAAGCCAGACGTTAAAGTGATTTTTTAAAATATAAAGCAAAGCAGTCTTCTCAATAAATGAATTTTATTTTGGAAAATATAGTTATTTTTCAAAAAAGATGTTACTTCTGTTAACCTATAATGGGTTAAACTATTGTTATTTTTAAATGAATTAATACATAATTTAAATTTCTTTTTTTTTTTTTTTTTTGGCAGCACCGTGCTGCCGCATATGGGATCTCAATTCCCCAACCAGGGATTGAACCTGCGCCCCTACAGTGGAAGCACGGAGTCTTAACCACTGGACTGCCAGGGAAGTCCCTCAATTTTAACTTCTAATATGGTAAATACTGATAGCTAATGGATACAATAGTTATACTGCCTTCCCAGGAAGGTCAGAAAATGCTGTTTCTCCTCATCCCTCCCAGGCCCTCTAATCTGAGCTGGATCCAGCCCCATAGGAAGCTGAGTTCCCAGGTTACCCCAGAATTAGACTTGTGCTCACACTGTCGCTGTCTCCTCCTTTTCTCCTTATGACCCTCTATGTTCTCACCTGTGGCTCCTAATTAACCTAAGGGGCATGCAAGCCTGGGTAGTTTAGGGGAATAAGCCTGGGTTTCAGAATCAGGCTGACCTGGATTAGAACCCTGGCTCTACCACTTATTGTCCTTGAACAGGTGATTAGCCTCTCTGAACCTCACTTTCCTCATCCATAAAATGGGAATAACAATGGTTACCCTACCTCTTAGGATTGTTGTCAGAAGTAGTGATAACATGTAAAATGCCCAGACATTGATAGACAGAAACTATCACCATTACTGCATTTTATCAGCATTATTAGCTATTGGGTCCCCTGAGCCCCTTCTTGGGTGCTCAGCTACCTGCCAGCTGTCCCCATCTCCTTCTTTTCCACAGTCCCACAGAAGAAGCAAAACCAAGGGCTGCCTAGGATTGCAGACTCTGGCTTCCCAACACACACACACACACACACACACACACACACACCACATGCTCTCTCTCCCTCAGCCCCATGCAGGGGTGTCACCCTACTCCAGAGCTAAAAGTGAAAAATGACAACTAAATGCCAAGCGCCCAGGCTCCAAGAAAAGGCCCCTCTGTTGCTAGTGTCAGTGCCAAGGCAGTCTTGGCTCAAGGACAAGTGAGCGGTGGCCATGATGGGGAGTGGACCAGGGCTCCCAGCCCAGCTCTGCTGCTGACTGTGGGCGAGTTTCCTCCTGTCTCTGGGCCTCAGCTCAGCTGTAAAAAGGGAAGACACCTTCTAGCTCCGATGTTGTGGACTTCTACGACAGCCAGGTCAGACTGAGGAGCCCTGTCTTCCCCCAGTCCCTCCAACGACACACAACGGTCACAGAGAGGCCAGCTTGCTCTCTGTCACTGCTTCAACCCCTCCCCGCCCCACCAGGTCCTGTCCTGGAGTCCCTCTGCCACTCACCCTGCAGTTGCTGAGCTCCTCAGCGGACAGGATGATGGTGCCACATTTCTTCCCTGGGACACCACTGGGAGAGGAGAAGATGAAAGAATGGAAAGTCAGACAAAGACAGAGCCACAAGCCTGAACTCTCCCTGAATCAGCCCTCTTCATCCTCCTCCCGCCACCCCCAACCATCCAGCAGATCTGCCCCAAAGCCCCTAAGAAGACACAGTCTCCTGTGGCCTAGGGCACTGCTTCCTGGGCCAGGCCCCCAGGCCTGGAGCTGCCCCGCCCCCTGCTCCCCAAGAGCCCGCCAAGAAGGGTACTGTCTGCAGTGAAAGTCCTAGAATTGGAAAAGCATCCAGACTCACCCGGAGGCTTCCAGACCAGTGGTCCTCAAACTTTCCATCCAAAGACCACTTCTGTGGGCAAAAGACCTCGTGGGCTAGCCACCCCACCCTGCACCCAGCTGATCCCCAGAGTCCTGGAACATTCCAGCTCTGAGCCACTCTGATTCATCGTAGGTGAGAGAGCAGTAAAAGGGGGTAAAGCAGGAGGACTGGTATACTCTTGGTGGCAGCTTGCCGGGCCCTCTCCCATGGCTCCCTCCCCTTAAACTTCTTGGCTGGGGTCTCTCTGGGGGAGAGAGATCCCGGCCAACCATGTGCCTCCTCTGTGAGGGAGGCAACCGGGACATGAAGTCAACCCACCCAGAGAATCCCCTCTAGGAGGGCAATTCCCAGGGTGGAGCTCTACCCAGGGGATCTGCACTACCTCTTCCTTTGATCAGGAGGGCCCCCTCCCCCAGGCACCATCCCATCCCATTCCGATTGTTTAGGACTAACCCAGGGGGGTCCCAGTGCAGCCAGGGGCCACTGGGAGGGAGAAGAAAATGGCACGTTGTCCAGTAGCTGTGTGACTTTGGGCTCACTACTACACCTCTCTGAATCTCAGTTTCATGGCCCATAAAATGGGTGTAATTGTAGCATCCATTTTACTAACTAATATGCACACACACAGTGCCTGGCACAGAGAAGGCCCTCAAGAGCACCATTTCTCTCCCTGCCTGGTTTCCTTTACAATCGTGCAAAGCTGATAAAATCCAGCCCCACAATTGGGCCAGCCTCAGGGTCACCAGCATGTTGACTGTGGATCACATTTTGAGAACCACTGATGGAGCTCTCCCCAGTGCCAGCTCTTAAAGGGAGAGGTTCTCAAACAGGGGAGGCATGGGAGCCGGCCCTGAGGGCTGATGAGACAGCCCAAATCTCTCCAAATCAGGTGAGCAGAGCAGAGGCTGCATCTCGAGGTTCCCCTGCCATAGGCAGGTGGCGGTGCCTGACAGCTTGTCCCCCTAGACTTGGGCAGCTGAGTTGAGTAACCCAAAGCCCCTCCCTACCTCCCCCGCCCCCCAATCTGGCCCTCCTTGCTAGTAAAGATTGATTTGTTTGACCAGGGAGATAGAATCCTCACACCAGCCTCCTCTGTCCAATGGTTCTCCATCTGCTCCTCTCTTTGCCTCTTAGCCCCTCTTCTATTTCCAATCTTTCCTTCCACGCTCTCAAGCCCCAGTCTGCTCCCACCTGCTCGCTCGGCCTCTCTCTCTCTCTCTCCCTCCCTCCCTCCCTCCATCCCTCTGGTCTTTCTTGCTCTCCCTTTCTGTTTCTCTCTCTGACTCCTGCTCCCTCTCCAATTGCTGCTTCTCTACTCTTCTTATAAATTAGCATCCATATACTTCCTGGGCTGTGAGCATCCCTGGGTCCCCTGAAGGCCTCTTTCCCACAACCCACTAGGCTGGTGGCCAATCCAGCTGCTGGGACCCCAACATCTAGGTGCCCTCTGCAAAGGCCAGTGGAGCTTTGCTTACTCAGCCAAAGTGCTCGTCTCCAGAGGCACCTCCAGGCTGGTCCCCCAAGCAGATGCTCCCTACCCTGGCTCCCCCACCCCTGCCAGGTGAGGACCCTTTCTCCAACCAGGAGAGGAAGGGGAAAGAGTGGGAGGGTCTTGGTTGCCATATCTGCGTGAGGCCAGCCAAAAGCAGATGTTCAGGGTGGGGGCCGGAGGAACAAGGCCAGCCTCTGCCACAGCTGGTAAGCAAACGCGGAGAGTAAGGATTTAGCGGAACCACTCTGTGAGCAGGCTGACATCCAGCAGTGGAAGCAACGGAGAAGAAGATGGGGAGGAGATGAAGAGAAGAGAGGGGAAGGGTTAGAGGGGGTGGGAGGTGGAAGAAAACTGGCCGGGAGAGAGGAAGGGAAGGAAGAGTGCCCAGCCCCTGCTGATTCCCAGAAACAGCCCCTACCTCTAAGCCCCACCCTGCTCCCTGAAGTCCTATGAGCCATTGGGGCTGGGGATGCTGGAGCTCTAGCCTGGACGGGGGGAGGGCCAGCTGCAGAGTGGCCCAAAGTGCCACTTTAGGAGGGACCCAGGACCCTCTCTGTGTCCCTGACCAGGGCTAAAGGCACAGTGGTAGGAGCAGGGACTGGGCCAGGACTCTGAGGCCCCCTCTGCAGAGCTGGCTGAATGTCTGAGGACTCCAGGGCTAGAGATGTCTGGTGGCCTACCCGTTGGATACAGCTGGCATGGGTTTGCCTGTCCTGGAATTCAGGCTGAATGCTCCTATTCTGTGGAGAGAGAGAGAGCAGGTCATGAGCTGAGTATCCCCATTCTGAGAGGCCAGAGCACTTGGCATCTAGATTCTTGGAGACAGGTTTCTGTTCTGGGTCAAACATCAAACCAGGACCAAGAGCCACAGGCCAGAGGAAGAAGAGGTCTTCTTCCCAAACCTTGTTGTGAAGCCCTGGGCAGCTCCACCCCAGGGGTTCTCAAAGTGTGGTCCCCAGGCAAGCAGCATCACAGCCCCTAGAAATGTGTTAGAAATGTAAATTCTCAGGCCCTTGCCCAGACCTGGGGTTGGAGCCCAGTAGTCTGTACTAAACAAGCCCTCCAGGTGATGCTGATGCCTGCTACAGTTTGAGAACCTCTGCTCTACCTCTTTGAGCCTCAGTGTTTGGGCTGTGAAATGGGGAGATTGCTGAGATAATCACATGAGGCCATGGAGACAAAAGACTGTCTGGTTCAGAACAGATGCCCAATGAAAGGGAGCCGTTCATAGGTCTAGCCTGGGAGACAACTAGACTTAGACACATGAAAACTTCATGTGTCTTCAGCGGGAAGAGTATATCCCCCTCCTTCACCAACACCCAGCATCTCGACATTTTAGATCCCGCTTACCCTTTAAGGCTCCTCTCAGTAGCCATCCCCTATCCCAAGTCTTCCTTGATCCCTCTTGAAGGTGTGTCCCTCCACCAAAGGTGGGTCAGGGGACAGCACAGACCCAAATAACTCATGTGTATTTGATCCAGGCAGTGGGGAGCTGAGAGGGGCCGACACAAACTCACTCCCGGGACCCCAAACTCTATAAACTTCAGAGCCCCCAAACATAAGTTTACTCCCTGTCTCAATAAATGATAGCTATTTGTCACTATTTTCTGTGAACCCAGAGGAGGAGATGTTTGTGGGGATAGTGAGGCCTTTCTGGGGACCCCGAAGTTACCACACAGTTACTGGGGGTCAGAGACAAGGGCCTGGGAGAGAGACCACCCCCCACCCCCCCACAATAACACATTCTGCAGTTATTGATCACGGTGAGGGGACAGCATCCAGTGTGAACTTTCAGAAGCAAGTGGGGGGCTTTTCTGCCCACCCTGCCCTATGACCTGGACACTTGTCTTAGTGTGCAGGCCTCTCTTGCCTGGGCCCTACTCCTGGGGCTTCCTGAAACAGGGACAAGAGAGGTCACCCCAACACCTGGCCAACCTGGCTGGTCCCTGAAGCCACCCTCAGGCTCCACTGTGACAAGCCTTGGGACTCCACATCCCAGAGCCTGCTCAGTATAATAGTCTTCCCCTAAAAGCACTTAAAACCCTATGATGCAAGGGCAGGGTAGGATAGGGAGGGCCTCACCATGCCCAGCTCTGGCCTCAACAAGGTATGAACAATCTGAGGAATACTCTTTGTGAGTAGATCCCTGGGTTCAAATCCCAGCTCTTCTACTTCCTAGCTGTGTGGCCTTGGGCAAATCAATTTCCCTCTCTGGGCTTCAGTTTCTTCCCCTGTACATGATGGGGTGGGGTGTGAGAGTGGGGTAGATAGTATCTCGGGCCATGCTAAGGAACATGGGGTTCTAATAACTGAGCCAGGGTCCCTCCAAGATAACTGGGTTAAAAGCCCTGCAAGGGCAAGGCCCATGAGGTCTCCTTATTTCCGATTGTCTGTTATGACTGGCTGACTGCTTTGCCCCTCCCCTGAGCCAGCCCTCAGCAAGGATGAACAGGAAGTTGGCCCATCACTGAGGAAGCAAACCAGACAGGTCCCACTCCCCTGAACACTTACGTGAGGGACTTCTCCAGGCGGCTCCCAGGGGACCCCACAATCTCTCCAAGGGTGCAGAAGGCCTGGCCCAGAAAATCCTGCACATCCAGGGTACAGAAAAGACCACTGTCACCCACTCTGCTCACAGCCATCCCACCTCCTCCATCACCTCACCCCTGGAAGTATGAGGGCTCTGAAATGACAGGATGCAGCATCAGACACATTCTGTGTCACAGTGAAGCCCAAGGCCAACTCAGAGTTTGGCATTTAAGAGACTTTCAGAATTGCTGGGCAGGCACTGGCAGAACTCACGTGTTTGGATAAATCAGGACTCTTGGAGTCAACATCATATCTGCAGGGAACACAGAGAGATGGTGAACGCAGCTGGGGCATCCTGCCCCAAATTGCCTGGCTTCTTGAGCTGAGCCAGGACCCCTGCTCCCCCAAAATCAGGCACCAACACAGTGGATATTTCTGGGAGTAATAGCAGGGAGATGCAAATGGGAGCCTTCTAAGGTGCTAGTCTGTCTCTTGATCTGGGTGGTAAATGGGTATCAAAAGGCATCATTGGGGTAGCGCTATTAAGATTTGGGCACTTCACTGTATATGTTATACCTCATTAAAAATTGAAAAAATAAAATAAACTTGCTCTGCCACCCTGGCTGGTTCACAGATACCCGAGCCACCCTGCTCTTCACTGACTGTTCTCCCATCTTCCCAGCTAAGGCTCAGCTGCCCTTGGACTTCAGTACCTTGCCTTTGACCTTCCCTGACTGTTCCCTTTTGCCCAGGCCTGCCCAACCTGCCCTCAGGCCTGAGCACTCAGAAAAGAGGGAGGCATGAATACCTGTACCTCAGCCCGCCACAGGCAGCTGATCCTGCAGCTGGGCACCTCTCTTCACCTGGGGCTGGCTCACCCACAGCCTCACCTGCAGCCCTTGCCTCCTGCATTCCGCCTCTACTCACACTGGCCATCTCTGCAGCCAAACAGTCATTCTAGGTACAGACAACTCCTACTGAGGGGCAGTCGTCATTGTGCCAGTCCCCTTCCCTGAGCACTTTCTCTCTCCAAAGTGTCACCAGGTGACTTCCCTACAATGGGCTGCATTGACTGCTCTGGGCCTCAAGTCCTTCTGTTGGTGCCTCCAAAGTCATTTCCTTTCACTGCCTTTTTTTCCTTTGCTCTCTCAGGTGCCAACCCCTCTTTTCTTCCCCACTCAGTCCACAATTCTCTAGGGCACAATCCTTTCTAATCACCTTAGACCCTGAAAATACAACAAAACACCACTCTTCCACCTGCTCATCAGACTAAAATCCCACCATCATCCTTAACCTCAGGAGAGGGGCACTCTGCATCTTTGTGATAAACACACAGATGCTTTGAGCCCCATCAGCCAAGTTACCTCTGCAGGAGGGGAAACTGGAGGGGACCCTCTCCCAGAACAAGCTTTGACAGAGGGAGAAGTCAATGGGGAGCTGGGGGGAAAAGGGCTCCCCAGAATTAGAGCTGGGTTGCCCCCAAGATCTTTCCTCACCACCCCCCAAATCAGGTAGCTTGCCCAGCACCCTCCCACACTGAGACAAATGGGGGGGGTGCCTTTGTTCCCCCTCCCCACCTCCTTTCCACCTCCTGATGGAGGTGGGGCTGGATTCAGCTAATTGTCACTTTTATCCTAGGCCAACCCTGAGTTCCTCTACTATCACAGCTCCCCGCTACCTTCCCTCGTGAGGAAACTCCCGCCCCACTACAGGTCCTGTAGCCCCACCTCCCATCCATGGTTCCTTCCCCAGCTCCATCCTCAGCACGATCTTCTACTCACAGGTCAAAACGGAGGTTCTGCTTCTCCTCGAAGAAGTAATCCACGATGAATTTGCGCACAAAGTCGGGATTGAGTGTGTTGTCGATGACTTCAGTGCGTCCGAACTACAGGAGGAGATGGGGCGTGGATCTCATGGCCAGGCTGGTGGAACAGGGGAGCACTGGGCTCGGAGCCCCTCAGTCCTGAACCCGGTAATGAAGGAAGCCACGCCTCTCCCAGCTCCTGCCCCCACCCCCCCATCAAGGGGAGAGCCCCCACATCTAACAGTGGAAGCTGTCCACCTATGGCTCCAATCTCCATTGTCACTTTATCCTCCCTTTCTCTATATAGGCTCCACTCAAGTGAGATGGTTTTGATACCTGGATACCTGAGCAGGCCCTTCACTTGTTCACCTCACTGCCTTTGCCTAGGCTGTGTCCTCCACCTGGCCTCCCCTTCTCAGCCAAGGGCACATCCTCCAATCCTTCAAGGTCTGTTGTTAATGCTGCCTCCTCCAGGAAATCTTCCTGATTCCTCCAACCAGAGAATTACTTCTCTCTGAGCCACCACTGAACTTGTGGCACCTCTATGACCACCTTCCTTCTCTGACTGATTCCGCATTAGGTGTGTATTGATTTGATGCCCCAATTGTAAATGCAAGGCAGAGACAGGGACTGTGGGATCTTTTAAGGTCCCATCTCGTGGCATTCATGCCCTTGTGCAATCCCCTCCCCTTGAATATGGGCTGGAGCTAGTGACTCACTTCTAATGAAGACTGGACTAGAGCACAAGTCACTTCCAAGGTTATGTTATAAACGACTATGGCTTCCGTCTTAGGCGCCCTCTCTCTCTTGCTTGCTCACTTTGATGAAGCCACATGCCATGATGTGAGCTGCCCTATGGAGAGACCCATGTGGCAAAGAACCAAGGCTATCAGCCAACCCACCCCTGAGAAATCTAAATCTTACCAAAGACCACTGAGTGAACTTAAAAGTGGATCCTGCCCCAGCTGAACCTTGAGAAGACTGAGGCCCTGGCCAACACCTTGACTACAGCCTTGTGAGAGACCCTGACGTAAAGGATTCCACAGAGCTACACCCAGATCCATGACCCTGTTGTTTAAGTGGCTAAGCTGTGGGCTAATTTGTTACTCAGCAGTGCATAACTAATTCAGAGACTTAACTTTCTTGGTAACCCCTGCAACATATACACTAGAGTTTGGCACACACTGGACACTCAATAATTATATCCCATTAAACTCCCTGAATGACTTAAAGCAAGTCACTCCCCATTTCTGGGCATGAGAATTACTTAAAGGTTTGTTAAAACATAGATTGTAGGTTCTGATTCAGTGGGTTTAGGATGAGGGCTAAGAATCTGTACTTCTTTTTTTAAAATAAATTTATTTATTTTATTTATTTATTTTTGGCTGCGTTGGGTCTTCGTTGCTGCGCGTGGGTTTTCTCTAGTTGCGGTGAGCGGGGGCCACTCTTTGTTGTGGTGCGCAGGCCTCTCATCACGGAGGCCTCTCTTGCTGCGGAGCACGGGGTCTTCAGTAGCTGTGGCACACGGGCTCAGTTGCTCCGCGGAGCGTGGGATCCTCCCAGACCAGGGCTCAAACCCATGTCCCCTGCACCGGCAGGTGGATTCTTAACCACTGTGCCACCAGGGAAGCCCAGAATCTGTACTTCTAAAAATGCAGGTGACACTGATGTTGCTGGTGCAGGGACCTCCCTTGGAGAACCACTGGGCTAGACTGTGGTCCACAGGGATGGGAGCTCCCAGGAGCCTTCCCATGTCATGGAGGGCGCGCAGTGTGGGCACCGTTCCGGGCTACCAATTCCATCAAAGCAGCTCTTTTATGTCTTCAATCCACTAGATATTTTTGGTGAGATTTTATTTTTAAAAAGGGACATGGGTCTAAAAGATAAAGTGCAAAAGCACTGTACACCCCATGGTGGTAGGGCATGATATTCCCCAAACTAAACAAGATAGGCAGACAAAATGAAAATATTTTAAATAGGTTGTCAATCATTCTTAACATGTTTCCAGTTGTCTGGGACATAGCTAGGTGTCCCCTTCTCCCCTGAAGTAAGTTAGAAACCTGCAAAGAGAACATCCCACCCAGGGCAGTGTGGGGTCATCTGGGGAGCACTAGATTTGGCACCTTCCTGCCCTCAGGCCCACAGCAAATCAATCTCTCATTCCCATCGATTCCATCAGCTAAATCTCTCCCCTCTCCCTGCCTCCTCTGCCGTGGCCTTGGTCAGGACTCTTCATTTTCTCGCCTCAAACACTGCAGTAGCCACCTCCTGGCAGGTACCCCAGGTAGGCCAATCGCTAATGCTTAAGGCTCAGCTCCCCGGAAGTCCAGCTCTCTAACTCCCACCCCTTCCCTTGCACTCCCATAATCCTCCTCATATCCCTATGGCTGCACTCATCACAAGACCTAATAATGATCTACTCTTTCCATCCCACTAGACTGAGCTTCTCAAGCAATGGGTTGGCGGGGATCCAAGTTTTCCTCATCTTTGCAGCTCAGGACCTGACACAGTGTTTAACAGAGTCACAGGCTCACAGTCCCACATGATTATAGCACCAGCAGCTGCAGTAAACACTTCACACCATATTACCTTATTTAATCCTTTTATGGCAGGCTTCCCTATTTTATGGATGAGAAAATGAAAGCACCAAAAAGCCAAGTAATTTGTCCAGGGTCACATGGCTAATAATTGCTGACTTCAAGGCACAACCCAGGCATTCTGGCTCACGTTCTCTAAGCCATGTTACCCTACATATAAGGTCCTGAGGGCAAGGACAGCAGAAGCCCACTGCTCCCAGTGACTGGTATACAGTAGGTACTCATTGTTGAATGAAGAAAGGTTGAATGAGGAAATCGATGAGAAGGTTTGAGTCCCAACCTCATCACAAGCTGATGGTGTGACTCGATCGGAGACTTTCAAAGCCTCAGTTTCCTCATCAGAAGATGGAGAATAATACTTGTTCTGCTTGCTTCTTAGAGTTATCCAACTCAATCCAATTATGAATTCAACAGTCTTTAAGCACTTATAAAGTAGGCCAGGCAGTGTGGTGGGTGCTGGGTTACAAACATAAATAGAACACGAATCCTGTACTTAAGGACTATCATAGGTGGGACAACTCAAACAAATAACTACAATACAGTGTGACAACACTGTTAACAGAACTATACACAAAGGTCTAAGGCAGGGTGCTCCACCCTAGCTGGGGAAGTGTGAAAGTTATTAAAATGTACAAAAAAGCAGAGCACTGGGCATCCTGTTTCGCATACTAGTCCAGGTATCTGATTTCATAGAGGTCTGCCCGTTCATTATCTCTGAGCTACTTTACAACTCCGCAAATTACAGAAAGCATAGAGTAATGCAGATGACTTTATCCATAGAAATGCAAATGGATTTTCCTCAGTGGAACGCAAGTGATCATTTGATTACCACCCTGTGGATACAGACCAATTTTGCAGCTATTTGTAAATTCATTTCAGTATTCCTGATTTCATATACGTGTGTGGTGTTGGAATTATTTGAACCAGTTATAACATCTTTCTGGGTCCCTCATTGATTAATAAGTTGAATAAATCTTTGCCGTGTGTTCATTTTATATTTCTACGGGAATCATGATTTTATCTTCAAAGAAACGTAGCCTTTAACAGGAGATTTTTAAAAATACCCATGCTTGGAATTCCCTGGAGGTCCAGTGGTTAGGACTCTGCGCTTTCACTGCCAAGGGTGAGGGTTCAATCCCTGGTAGGAGAATTAAAATCCCACGAGCCATGAGGAGCGGCAAAAAAGACAAACAAACAAAAAAACCCACCCGTGCTCAAGCCCTACCACAGGCCAATTAAATCCGAATCTCAGTGGGTGGGGCCTGAACAACTGTATTTTTAAAAAGTTTCCTACATGATTCTAAGATGCAGATGGAGTTGAGAACCACAGATTCTCAGTAGGAACATGGTAGGAGGAAGGAAGAAAACTAACATTTACTGAGCCCCTTACTGAATGCTTAGCAGATCAAGTGGATCATTGAATTATCGCATTCAATTCTCACAAAAACCCTGTGACCATTTACCCATTTTACAAGTGAGAAAACTGAAAATCAGAGAGGTTAAGTGACTTACCTAAGCTCACACCAGCTAGGCACAGCTGGGATCTAAACCTAAGAATGTCTAACTCCAAAGCTCATTTGATATTTATATATATATATATACATATATATATATATATTTTAAATTTGAAGATCTAATTGGCTTTATTAAATGACTCACGAATCGGGCAGCATCTCATCTAGGAAGCACAGAGATACTCCCCAAGGCTTATTATATTTTTACTTCATCTAACTGCCAAGAGTCCTCAAGCATTATGAAAGCCAAATAAAGATGAGGTTTACTTCACAAGCATTTATAGAAGCCTCCCTGTGTGCAAGGCCATGGTAAGGACATTGAGTTGAATAAGACTGGGTTCCTGCCCCACCCCACAAATTCCATAACGATCTTATAACCCTGGTTGCAAAACAGTTCCTGCATTTTCCTCTCCTGCCCTTTCTAATTCTTAATCCCGCGTGTCTTCAGATGCAAAGAAAATTTCTCCTAATAGCTTTCTAGAATGTAGACTATTCCAGGAAAACACCCAGGTTCGAGAGAATCCTCTCTTAAGAAAGGGGCCTACCTCCTCCTCAATGCACTGCCTTCCTCTCTCAAACACAATAAAAAAATCCCTCCGGCAGAATTTTATATAAACCCCAGCCCAGAAGAGGCAAGTATTCCTTTGTGCATCCTTCCATCTCCCTCCACTCCCGGCAGAGACTCCAAGGAAAACACCCATTAGGGAAGATGACAGCGCTGCTTTTAAAATGGCACTTGAAGCTCAATAGGGGGGAATTCCCTAGAGATTGATCTCTGCTGGAGAAGAAAATGGAGTTCCCCTGGAAACAGGACACGGAGGGGGACTCCAAGGGCACCCAATATCTCCTAGAGCAGGAAAGGGGACAAGTGAGCCTGGCTGGGCGGTGATAAATTACCAGGACCAGGGGTAATTAACATATATGCACATCCTAAACTACTGCGAATGAAATCTTAAACCCAGGGACTTAC